TTTTCATCCCTTCCAATGCTCCGCAGCTGCTCCGCTGTGAGTTGGTCACGATGAATGGCAACCAGCCCCCAGGGGCTTTGAAGTCAGATGCTTGCATTGATCTCCAGAGCTGCCCATCATCTCAGTGGCGTGGTGGAGTGCTGTCCATCACAAACATACCTGAATCTCCTCAGGTTCCATTTTTTATTTTTTTGGATAAAATTGATGCCATACAGAAAGGGCACTGCATACTAACACGAGACATATTTATGCAAGCTGTGTCTGTCAATGATTGTCTCCGCTGTGAGTCAACACAGCTTGCATTTTGATGCATATAGAACGATTTTGGTCTGAATATGTTAAGCATGCAGCTCGTCTACTGATAAGTTGTAAGTAAATGTGCTTGGGTAGCAGCTAGTGTCAATGAACTGGAAAATTACAGGAGTCTTATTAATTTATCACTTATACAATGTTACAATATTTTGCAAAATGGCCAGCATTTGTTTCCCATAACAGAATTTTTTTTCTTTATAATCTAACATTGGAACTACGTTGCAAAAATTTATATTCTTAATGAGCATTTTTGTGTTGTTGTACAAAAAAAACAAAAAAAAAATCCCTAAACCAAGAGACATTTACCTGCAATGGCATAAGATAGTAAGACTTGTTTTATTATATTATAAAATTATATTGAGAGATATGATAACCCAACCTTATGAGTAAGTGTAACTATTTTACAAGATGGTGATTTTGTACAATATGATTTGTTCAGAAACATACAATATTTTGAAAAAAAAAAAAATATATATACAAGGATAAAGTTATGTAAAATGTAACCCTAAACCTAACCAGTCAGTAGGGCAACAATGTACAAATTAACTAATTTGTCAAAACATAATATAGTTGAATTGCAGTTAGAGAATGTTAAATATGAAGCTAGTTTCTGAAATTAATACAAATTTCCAATTATGACACATACAATTGCAATTTTAAACTATAAAATCACAGTTACAAGAAATAAAGTATTTTATTTATTTAGCTGGAGATGGGTTTCAATAAATGGCACTTGTATTCAAATTGCACTCATATTCAAGACTTATATTGAATCTTTATTATGTTATTTAATTTAGTTTCTCAAATTAATTTGTTGTTTTAAGGGTTTTTAGATATTTTATTGATAAACAGGACAAAGATACAAATGATTTTTTTTTCATCTAAAACAGCCGGACATAACCTAGATCGGTATGCCTATGTATTGGTCCACTCTCTTATGTAACACACATGATCTCTCACCTTTACAGTTTCAAAGAGAACACTATTCTACTTCTGTCACACCTGCAAAGTCATTGCTCTCATCTGCTTCAAGGCAAGAGTAGAAAAATACGAGAAAAAGAAGGGCGGAGTAGGGAAGAGAACCAACTCACACAGTGAGCTGACCTATGCCCATGCAGCCTAATCATGTTATCCATGGTAGCACAGTAGAAATGTTTCGGGATGTTGCAATAGAGGGATCAAAGCGAGAGCATCTTAATCTGTTCTTGAACTGTATGAAATATCTAGGACACGTTTTTTTTTTCTTCAAATTGCACTAAGATCATCCGCCGGTGAGTCATACACATCATCGCAGACTCTAGGCACTTCCAAAACAGCACTACGTTAATGCAAAGTAACATTTGGTTAGTGTAAAATATTCTAAATCACATAAGAGAGAAGCAAAAATAACTGGATTTGTGCAGATGGAAGGGTTGCTGTATGCATTGCTGACAGTGTTTCTATGAGTATGTGTGAAAAAACAGCATATGAGCATTTTAGGTAGTAACTGTCATCTAAATCCCTTTCCCGCCATTTAACATGCAGTGTAGGTGGTGTGCTCGGGGATTAGGTTTAGCCTTTAATATGTCTTCGGCAAGTGCACAAGCTGTAGACTTCCTTTTTCGTACTATATGGGGATCAAACCAATTGCAAAACCAGTGCAGCTATAGAAAATCTAACTTTACCTGCTAAAAATGTGTTTTCCTTTCTTTAATGTAGTGATGGGAAGTCCGGGTCTTTTCCGCGAACCGTTTCTTTCGGACAGTTCGTTTCAATGAACCGGTTCAAAAAAACTGTTCATCGGTTCTTTTACGCCCAAATGTAATGGCGTCATTCGCGACGTAATGATATCAAGTCTATCATCCCGGGCCGGGATAAAAATACACATTCAAATATATAAAGTCAGTAATCATAACTTCAGTCAGTTAAAACATCATAATCATGATCTGAAAAGTTTACAATTAAGTTTTGCAACTAAGCACCCAAATACAGTAACAGGCAGTGATGTACATATGAGGCTTTAAGTCTTGAAGATATAAAGTAGATAAATTAGTTCAGCACAGAAACCATAATCCACTTACTATACATAATCCATTGCGATTAATTTGTTATTAAATAAACTTACGTTTCGCCAGATTGCCCTTCATTCAAGTTCTCGGTTTACCCGCGCTCATAGCATTAGCACAGAATCAGTTGTCCAAAAGAACCAGTTCGGTTCGGACATGCTGTGTCAATCATAGTAGGCAATCTGTTCGGTAGCTTCATGCTGAATCACGCATGCGTAGTATCATCAGCTCATCTGTTCTCAAATCGGACGTGTCCGAAAGAAACGGTTCTCTGTTCAGTGTACTGGTGATCCGAAAACCAATGCAACCGGTTCTTGACTCGAGAACGAGAACCGCTCTAACCGGCACGTTGCACGCACGTTCAGTATATCAGCTGCTCTACTCGTGCTCATCAGTTCTATTTACTACAAACTCAATTTGTGAATGTGTCATCGTTAACTATAATTACAGTACAGGTATTTCATAAATCATCCCTTATTCCTATTAAACATAGAGTCTTAATTATGGTCCCTGACAAACCCCTTTGTCCTATAACCTAACAGAATCTTCAAATGAACAAAGTACACAGATTAGATACATTCATCTTTAAAAAAAAATATATATATATTTATATTATCACACTTTCTGATGTTTAACAAAATACTTGGATAACATGCTTTTTGTCCTCTTTTACAAAATTACACGCATGCGCTGTATCATCAGCTCATCGGTTCTCAAATCGGACGTGTTTGAAAGAAACGGTTCTCGGTTGAGTGAACCGGTGATCCGAAAACCGATGCTACCGGTTCTTGACTCGAGAATGAGAACCACTCCATCAGTGGGCGTGTAGGTTCGTTACCCGGCGCGCTGCACACATGCTGCTCTGCTCGTGTTCATAATCAGTTCTCTCTTCACTGCAGTTCAGTCAGTGTACTGTTTGAGTAAATAAATCACTCCGGGATATTGGTTTATTTCGACTCGGAGGGAGTGTCAGCCATGTTAAAACAGTGAATAACTTAAGTAATTTGTGAATTAATGCTTACTGGAGACGTGAACCGTTTCAAATGATTCAGTCCGATTTGGTGAACTGGTTCAACCGGTTCACTAAGAAGAACCGGTTAAATCGAACGATTCGTTCGCGAACCGGACATCACTACAGTATCACGCAGCAGAATAATAGTCCTCCACTGCTGCAGTTGTATGGATTCTTAACACACTTTACCAATTTAACATTTTTCTCATCAAACAGACTAATGACTAGCTCGACACAACTCGTACCGGGGCAGAGTCTAGACAGGTCTTTCTTTTGTGTTGACCAGCGGTACTTAAAGTGATAGGGGGTCCGAGAAATAATTTGCTATAGCCTAAAGTATTTCCAGACTGTAAAGTCGCTTTTTTATCATTATACATCGGCCTACTGTGATTTATTCCAAAGTGACTTATATGATGCATTTAACATCAAATCATCTAAATGAAGCCTTTTAAAAGACAAGTATTCACTGTGGTTGATGTTTGTGGCATGCGCCAGAAAGATGCTCAAGGAGACCGAGACGCGCTAAAGCAGCGCATTCTGTTGTTCTCTATTTTTCAAAGGCATGACATTTTGTAGTTATTTTGAACGTAACGTTACACAATTAAAAATATACATTTTACCATACGACTATAAATGACAGAGTATTAAGTTATTTCCCCTCGATGGGGAAAAAAATCCAAGTGGACATCAATCAGTACTCAATATTAATTTAAACTGCTTTAAATATGACTGCTGCTTATTTCCTGTGCACTTCAATACTGATCTGTGCTTGACTGTAGTCGCGTCTGTCTGCTTATTGAGTTTATTTAACCCATCGCAATTTATTGGAACTGTGTGAACTAGAGTCACTACTCACCTTAATGTTGTTCTAAAGGCTTATTACTTAATAACACACAAATGTCCAGCTCGCACTTGCCAATTTAATGGCAGAGAATGGTGACTTTTTTATTTTTTTAAGCGGATGCATATCTGTCGTAAAATAATCATATGCATCTCGTGAAATTATATTGAGAGATATGATAACCCAACCTTATGAGTAAGTGTAACTATTTTACAAGATGGTGATTTTGTACAATATGATTTGTTCAGAAACATACAATATTTTGAAAAAAAAAAAAATATATATACAAGGATAAAGTTATGTAAAATGTAACCCTAAACCTAACCAGTCAGTAGGGCAACAATGTACAAATTAACTAATTTGTCAAAACATAATATAGTTGAATTGCAGTTAGAGAATGTTAAATATGAAGCTAGTTTCTGAAATTAATACAAATTTCCAATTATGACACATACAATTGCAATTTTAAACTATAAAATCACATTTACAAGAAATAAAGTATTTTATTTATTTAGCTGGAGATGGGTTTCAATAAATGGCACTTGTATTCAAATTGCACTCATATTCAAGACTTATATTGAATCTTTATTATGTTATTTAATTTAGTTTCTCAAATTAATTTGTTGTTTTAAGGGTTTTTAGATATTTTATTGATAAACAGGACAAAGATACAAATGATTTTTTTTTCATCTAAAACAGCCGGACATAACCTAGATCGGTATGCCTATGTATTGGTCCACTCTCTTATGTAACACACATGATCTCTCACCTTTACAGTTTCAAAGAGAACACTATTCTACTTCTGTCACACCTGCAAAGTCATTGCTCTCATCTGCTTCAAGGCAAGAGTAGAAAAATACGAGAAAAAGAAGGGCGGAGTAGGGAAGAGAACCAACTCACACAGTGAGCTGACCTATGCCCATGCAGCCTAATCATGTTATCCATGGTAGCACAGTAGAAATGTTTCGGGATGTTGCAATAGAGGGATCAAAGCGAGAGCATCTTAATCTGTTCTTGAACTGTATGAAATATCTAGGACACGTTTTTTTTTTCTTCAAATTGCACTAAGATCATCCGCCGGTGAGTCATACACATCATCGCAGACTCTAGGCACTTCCAAAACAGCACTACGTTAATGCAAAGTAACATTTGGTTAGTGTAAAATATTCTAAATCACATAAGAGAGAAGCAAAAATAACTGGATTTGTGCAGATGGAAGGGTTGCTGTATGCATTGCTGACAGTGTTTCTATGAGTATGTGTGAAAAAACAGCATATGAGCATTTTAGGTAGTAACTGTCATCTAAATCCCTTTCCCGCCATTTAACATGCAGTGTAGGTGGTGTGCTCGGGGATTAGGTTTAGCCTTTAATATGTCTTCGGCAAGTGCACAAGCTGTAGACTTCCTTTTTCGTACTATATGGGGATCAAACCAATTGCAAAACCAGTGCAGCTATAGAAAATCTAACTTTACCTGCTAAAAATGTGTTTTCCTTTCTTTAATGTAGTGATGGGAAGTCCGGGTCTTTTCCGCGAACCGTTTCTTTCGGACAGTTCGTTTCAATGAACCGGTTCAAAAAAACTGTTCATCGGTTCTTTTACGCCCAAATGTAATGGCGTCATTCGCGACGTAATGATATCAAGTCTATCATCCCGGGCCGGGATAAAAATACACATTCAAATATATAAAGTCAGTAATCATAACTTCAGTCAGTTAAAACATCATAATCATGATCTGAAAAGTTTACAATTAAGTTTTGCAACTAAGCACCCAAATACAGTAACAGGCAGTGATGTACATATGAGGCTTTAAGTCTTGAAGATATAAAGTAGATAAATTAGTTCAGCACAGAAACCATAATCCACTTACTATACATAATCCATTGCGATTAATTTGTTATTAAATAAACTTACGTTTCGCCAGATTGCCCTTCATTCAAGTTCTCGGTTTACCCGCGCTCATAGCATTAGCACAGAATCAGTTGTCCAAAAGAACCAGTTCGGTTCGGACATGCTGTGTCAATCATAGTAGGCAATCTGTTCGGTAGCTTCATGCTGAATCACGCATGCGTAGTATCATCAGCTCATCTGTTCTCAAATCGGACGTGTCCGAAAGAAACGGTTCTCTGTTCAGTGTACTGGTGATCCGAAAACCAATGCAACCGGTTCTTGACTCGAGAACGAGAACCGCTCTAACCGGCACGTTGCACGCACGTTCAGTATATCAGCTGCTCTACTCGTGCTCATCAGTTCTATTGACTACAAACTCAATTTGTGAATGTGTCATCGTTAACTATAATTACAGTACAGGTATTTCATAAATCATCCCTTATTCCTATTAAACATAGAGTCTTAATTATGGTCCCTGACAAACCCCTTTGTCCTATAACCTAACAGAATCTTCAAATGAACAAAGTACACAGATTAGATACATTCATCTTTAAAAAAAAATATATATATATTTATATTATCACACTTTCTGATGTTTAACAAAATACTTGGATAACATGCTTTTTGTCCTCTTTTACAAAATTACACGCATGCGCTGTATCATCAGCTCATCGGTTCTCAAATCGGACGTGTTTGAAAGAAACGGTTCTCGGTTGAGTGAACCGGTGATCCGAAAACCGATGCTACCGGTTCTTGACTCGAGAATGAGAACCACTCCATCAGTGGGCGTGTAGGTTCGTTACCCGGCGCGCTGCACACATGCTGCTCTGCTCGTGTTCATAATCAGTTCTCTCTTCACTGCAGTTCAGTCAGTGTACTGTTTGAGTAAATGAATAACTCTGGGATATTGGTTTATTTCGACTCAGAGGGAGTGTCAGCCACATTAAAAAAGTGAATAACTTAAGTAATTCGTGGATTAGTGCTTACTGGAGACGCAAACCGTTTCAAACGATTCAGTCCGATTTGGTGAACTGGTTCAACCAGTTCACTAAGAAGAACCGGTTAAATCTAACGATTCGTTCGCGAACCGGACATCACTACTTTAATGCCCATATGGCATTTAGAAATGTACAGTCCTATTGTGATATAATACAATGCAAGCAAGCCCAGACAAAACCTTCTATCACAACTCACAACAGCCAATACACAGTAAGGCCCAGTCCCAATTCTACCCCTTAGCCCTTCCCTAACCCCTCGGTTTCGTGCATTCACGTGAAGGGGTAGGGGTGTCTCAATTATCTTTTGGTTGGAGGGGTAGGGATAGGAGAAGGGCCAGACAGCCCTTCAAACGAAGATTTTTCGGGACCACATTTCAAACGAAGGGGTATGAATTATCTCAGTGTAAAACGGCTTCAGGGGCAACATGGCTGCCCGAGCGAACAAAAAGACACATAAATGTAAGCATTTTTGGCGTTTTAACGAAAATTAATAATTTGTTTTATGTTACATTCAATTGTGAGTTCATATTTACGGTCATGTTACTCAAAGAAATGTTTGCAAAAAATCGCTAATATTTGCTAACTACCGTCAAATCATTATAGACTGCACGATAGTGCCACAACATATTTTCATGTCTGATCAGGGCGATAACCACTGTAGACATTGAGGGGGGCTAGTCCCCCCAATAATTATAAATCGCAAAACCCTTTTCTCAAATATTGCCAATTCGATAGAGAGAGAGAGAGAGATGAAAGTTGCGTGTATGCGCGTTTGTGCGTTTCTCTTTTTAGAGTGAGTTTACTTAAAAAAAAACAGCGATTTTATCCTCTCATTGCTGGAAAATATAATGTAGTGATTCAGTATTTAAACTGTTTTTAAAAGTTGTGGGGCAGCGTTGATAAGTTTCTTTTCTCCTGGATGTGTGAGCTGCGCGATCTCCGATATATATGTGTGTGTGTGTGTGTCAGCTAGACGACGTATGATGACGTGTGACGGCATGGTAGTGGTGTCCCAATTCTTAGGGGAATATTTTCACCCCTACTCCTTGACACTCTGTTTCAAGGGGCAAGGGGAAGGGGTAGGCGGAGAGGTAGGGGAAGGGGAAGAAGTATAAAATAGAATTGGGATTGGGCCTAAATGTCACCATATGGAGGGTAAAATTTCTATATTCGAAGCAATCCATCTCACTTCTTACTATGCTCCTTTCCATCTTCTCAATTGGACCAACGCTGAATTCCATTTAGCACAGAATATCGCATTGACAACTTCCTACGTGTAAAAGTGCAACAGAATGCAACAGAGATCAACAATCAAGTTCTGGAAGAATAAATCCCATTAATATTCTCCATAGGGAAATTGTTTTTGAATGATAATTTCTAAAAGTTTGTAACGTTGTGATTCACATCATAGCTGGTTGCTTTGGTTCTTGGTTTATAACAGAGACATTTTTTAATATCCCTATGGCACCAGAACTTGGCAACACCCAGCTGTGGGAGTATGATGTCATGCTAACATGGTGGCATGCAGGGAGATATGGTTTTATGTCAAGTTTAAGGACATAAAATGCATAAATTAGTCAGAATTTCTGTAGCAGACAATGTTATGCTTGAAAGGATATATCAGGTAGAAATATTGCAGATATTCCACATATTGAATGAAATGCAGCATGAGACAACATCCACTCAGTTCAGGTAGGAGCCATCTTGTTTTCTCAGATGGCATGTTGATATAGCATACAACTGACGCAGTAAAGGCTTATGTGGCTTTTTCATCGTAAGTAATGCAACTCAAATACAGAGACTTGTCAGACTCAAGATACTGTGCACTGGTGGCTCTGCTTATTACACACAAATTGTGTGTTCAGCAAACTTAATCGGGCAGAGAAATATTGAAACATGGGGTGAACTCAATCACACAGTAATGCCTCTTAAACCCACTCTTTGCAATCAGATCTGAGCAATTCCAGGAAAATAAAAAATAAAAAAGATTCATAGACTCTCCGTTGATGTTGAAGGAATGCCGCTCTTAACCCCTGACAGCTTCTCAACATGGTTCTTTAAATGTTGTACAATACAAGAATGAACTTCTTGAGCTACATGTAGGCTATATGTACACATTTATCCAATAATGATTTACAGTTTAGCATAATAATGACTCTGACTGTAACTCTGACTTTAGAGTAAACATGAGATCACAATTGACCCTATTTAGTTTCTTAATGTACTTGGTCCTATTGTTTATGATTCATCAGTGAATGTTATTCTAGAAAAAAAAGAAAAAAATATGCCTTGTGTAACTTGCTCTGCATATGAAATGACTTTGCTTTTTTGCTGAGATCGTCTAGGCCTTGTGGTCTATTGGTATGCTAATGAATTATCAAGTAGTGATTATTTTAGGCTACTGTTATAGGTAGCAATAGTTTAATTCTGGTTATTGATTATTTCTTGGATGTAAAATGGTTGTGTGCTCCATGAACACTTTGTAAACATGAAATGTTTTTGAAATGTGTTTTCCAAAGGGTACCTCTGCTATATGTGGCACAATAGCAGCAAATAGGATCTCCGTGGAAAGGGAGGAGGGATTCTTCTCAGGTTGGCCTAAAGGAGCCTAAGCCAAAATGCCCAGATGCTTATTAAATGCCGCTTTGGCTCACAGTCGGCTGTAAATTGAACATGTGAGCGTAATTTTGAAAGTCTGTTTGTTGTGTTCAAACACAGACAGTCCTTCTGCTACCCTTCTTTATCTGTTCACATTCCTGAGATCAGCCCTTCATAGCTGCCCACCTGTCATGTTCAGTTATGGCTATCCGTTTGGTGAAGAGTTCAGAATATTTCTGTTGAAGTGTCAGGTTAATTAAAGTTTCAGAACAGTAGTGTTACTAGCAAATAGACCATGTTCTATATTCTGTTAATGTATCAGCAAGAGAAGTGAACTAACTACTATATTTTCTATTTCCTGCCTGGGGACAATACATTTTAAAGAAATATTCCAGGTTCAATACAAGTTGAATTCAATCGACTGGACTTACAATGGAAGTACTGTAAATGGGACCAAGTTTTGTCCTTTACTGATTGGCCCCATTCTCTTCTATTGTAAGTGCATTACTGTATCCCAGTTTTCGCTTTTTTTTAAGAAAAGAAGAGTCAAGTAGAAATTAAGTGCTGTCAATTGAGGTTAACTTGTACTGAATCTGCAATATTCCTTTAGAGGGGCCTGGGGTCATTTAAAGGGCAGCCATACAAAAAGCTAACTTACAAAGAAAGATAATAATACCTACAAAGAAGCAGCAGTCAGGTCACAGTCAGTAAAATTTTTACAGTTCTGGATGTGCCTCAAATGATTTCTCATTTCAACGGCTGTCAAGGTTATCAAAAATTGCAGGCCCCATGTGTGTTGTCTTGTCTTTTGTTCTTTATGATTCCGCTCCCTGCACCCGATATATGCCTTGTTTCCTAAATGACCTCAAAATAACCTCACCATGTCCCTCGGGATCGTACAGCTTAAGAGCTAGGCTTCCTTGATAAGGCCATTCACAAGTCTGTGGGACCGAAGCTACGCCAGTTATGTCTCCAATGATTGTTTGCTCCATTTTATCACAGTTGTTCTTTAAATCAAAACCAAGTTTTAGCCAGCATAAAAAAATAATCATACACATGAAGACTACATTCATCATTTTGGCAACAAAATGTACTTTTTGAAGAGTTAGTGCACCTGCTGAGAAGAGAAGAAGAAAAGGAAGAAAAAACTTATGTAAGAGTTTCTCCAGGATCCACAGACAGCTATGTAAGTACTGACAACCTGTCAAAGCCAGAAAATCCCTTAGGAAGCAGCACAGTCTGTGCGGGAGATGAGAAGGGAGGTCTCAAACACCTCAAAATCGGACAGGAAACTTCACAAGAAATCTTCAGATCAGTACAGATGTTCTACAAGTGCTTCAGGCATCTCAAACCTAAGCTGTTGTGGCCTAGAAAGGAAACAGACATTGATAAGTAATAATGGTCCAAGAATATTACATGGACATATGGAAACCAAGATCTTTTAATGTCTTTCTTGATAAGCAGACTTGCCCCTTCATATGGCTTCATAAACCTGTGAGGAACTAATTTGGCCTTTTACATACATTGATTTGCTCAGTGTATTGGAGCGTAGCTGTAGGTTACAGCCATATTGTACGCCCTGTTCATATTTAGAGCTAAACGTCATCATCACCGAGTTATGAGAGCCAACCTAAAGGAGGTTGCTAAGGAACAAAAAAGCAACTTCAGAACTTGCTGTTATTTCTGATTTCCACGTCACAGATTTTCACACCTCTGAAAAACAATTGCCAAGAATGTGGAGAGGGGACAAGAAGGAGATAATGTGTGATGTTTCCATGGAGTCTTGAATGGAATCACAGTATACTACCATTACTAATATGAGATGGACGCCACATTTTAAACGTGAGAACGGAAAGCTTTAAAAGCTGACACTGTATGATGTCCAGTAAAGTCTCATTATCTGCTATATCTTGCGCCCTCTGTTGCTTTCCTTCTCTTTCACATCCCCCTCTCCATCTCTCCAGCTTTCTCTGTCTTATCTTCTTTACCCTGTTCTTCTTCCTCGGAAATGCCAACCCCTTTCTACATTGGCCTTTTGCCTTGGGGCACATTACAGTGTCCAGGTCACACCATCTCCCCAGAGAGGCTGAAGAAAGCATTATAGCATGATTTTGTTCTTAGTGAGAGCCAACTAAAATAGAGCAAGAGAGAGAGAGCACAAGAGAGAATGTTCTAGAGTATGACATTGTGTTGATGACAACCAGAAATATAGCTACCGTGGATGGGGTAGATACTGCATTTATATATTTGTCAGATATTTTTGTACAAAGTGACTTTCAGTGCATTCTTATAGTGCATCTGAACCCATGTTATTTCTGTTGCTAGCACAATTATCTAATAGTCAGAAAGACACACTGTCTGGCTCTAATGTTATGTTATTTTATTTTATTTTATTTTATTTTATTTTATTTTATGTTTGTTTAGTGTTAGGCTTATATGAATCAGTTGGTAGCACAGTAATAGACAAAATCAAAATAAAATAAGCATAAAATAAAACAAACTGTAGTTGACCAGTTATATTTTGGTCAGACACTGACACATTTTACAAGACTTCATTCTTATAGGCAGGGGTAAGGGTGCGAGACTAGGTAGCTACAAAATCTGAAATATCTTCAGCTTGGATGCAGTAACATTACAGCTAATGTGCTAATAATGCAAATATCTATTGTTGCTTTTGGTTCTGTATTCAGCAAAAAAAATTTTTTAAAAAGTCGTCATAGGAGGTTGTCTCAATCTACAGGTGATGTGTGGTTGGGCCTGCTGAGCTGAATGTTCCTTGCCAAAGGGCAGGCTATCAGCAGGAAATAAACAAGCCAGGGTAAATCTTTTCACAGGTTCCCTCTGGATAGATATGGTCATACCATTCAGAGGGGGACAAGAGACTTGACCACTTCCCCCCAGTAACTGGGTTTTACTACACTCCGCACAGTGTTTTATGTTCACCTTAGCTGCCTCACAGTGTGTGACGGGGCCCCTGTGTCTTTTCTACTCAAAGCCCACTGTGCAATCAACACAAACTGCCATCCCCAAGCCCCATTTGCTAAGACAATATGCAGGCCCACCTGTAAAGGCCCGCATTTAGAGATGAAAAGAGGACAGGCATCTGCAGGGCATCCACTCTCTATAATGACCACCAGCATAAGGGTGCACATGAAAGTCACTCGCCCAGGTCCCTGAGTGAAGCTTTTACTGGGCCTAGGCTTGCTTTGATCCCTCCCTTGGAGAGACCAGTAGGAAAATCGCATTAAAAAAAGTGAGGGTGGAAATCTGATTGGCTTTGTGCAAAAATCTGTAATGCCAAGCCTCCATTTTTTAGTGCTGTCGTACATTGTGTAGGCTTAATGAAGCCCAATGCTGCTGGTGCTAAGAGATGCCAGCACACAATGCCCATATGATGGAGTGCACAATAATCGAATGGATTCAGCTTGACCTTGTTACAAGTGGATTTCATCTCATTTGTGACAAGGCGTTTATTTGATTTAAAAAATAAATAAATAAAACAAGAAAAAATTTCACTTATGGAAGTAAGTTTGTTTCACTTTAGTTTTATATGGCTGGAAATAAAGGAGTGAGTTATTTCCTCTGAATTTAAAAACATAATGAGCATATTCACCACTTTGTGATGGAAATTACAGGCACCTGTGATGTGGCCCATCAGAGCTGTGGTCTAGTGGTTACTATATAAACATGCACATTGATCTATGGTGCTCAAGCAGATTGTATGGTTTGTGGATCATTGTGCAGTGTTTGAACAATTCTTACAAAAGGACG